GGTTTTAAATCGTAAATTTTAAATTTAAAAACAAACTTACAAACATAAAATTTAAAATAAACAACAATTAAATTGAATAAATAAGATAGATATATATCGGCACCAAATAAAATCTTCTACAAAATTTCATAAAATGATTATGCCTGCACGCATAGTCTGATTCCCCCAAAAATAACTCGCTTTCCTTTTGAGACATAGTTTCGGCAAGAGCAAAAGAGAACGAAAAGTAAATGCAATGCAATGCAGCTGCAATTGCACTTGCATAACAAACACGAGCTATTGCCAGCTGTGGCCAGCGGAAAGCTCCACGCTGTTCTCCAAACGTCTGACGATGTTCTCTATGTTTGCCGTCGGGCATATGACACTTGCTATCATACGTGGCCTGCGCTTCCTTTCATATAAGAGAAGCACAGTAATCCTAAGCGGATGAATAACAATAGTTTATGCCAACTTTGTTTTTTTTTTTTCTGCCACCTTCCGCTTTAGAGATCACCCGTGGCCATGGGTTTCCTTCTGAAAGTAAATCCCCATGTACGTCCTATGCGTTTGATCTCCAACGCTTTGGGTTGCTATGCTGTAGGGTATACAAAAGTTGGTTTGTGTCGTTTCTTAAGTTCCTCAAAGTGGTCGGTTAACCAAATTACTGATAATTAGTTCTTCCGTCTTCCTATTCTTTGACAACTAAAAAAAACTACCAAACAATATATTGGTTTGCTAAATATCAGCAGCAACTTGAAACAGATAATCCTACTGACTGCACCAGAATTGGATTAAATATTCCGCCGCTTGACTTTTGGCCAAACCGGAACTGATTAAATAAACTGAATCCAATCGAATTTATTGGTGTATATGAGTCACATAATGTTTATGTGGCCCTTGAAGTTGGGCGCCAAGACTTATTATCATTATTATTGGAATTAATTATTTATAAATGTAACGAGTCGCCACATTCAAATTAACTTCAGGCGGAGGTGGTACCGTGGTGGTCAAGCGCACGCGGGTCTAATCGGCTGGCTGCTTGTCGGCTGTGGAAGTGGATGAAAAATGCCTAACCCCATGAAGTGCCTATTTGTTAACGATAATTGAAATCTAACTTCGCGTGCTAGACAAGCTGAATTCGGAAATGAGCAAACCATATAAAATCGAACGGAAAGTCTAAAATTCCCCTAATACCCTAACCGAGTCTCACATTCGCCTCGTTAGATGTTTCCGAGGCTCTATCATGCCCACCCAACCATTGGCCGTTCTCTCCCACACGTCCGAACGACCCCATCTATACGAGCTACCCTATCGAGGAATCATTCTAGCTGCGGCAACAGATTGATAATTTAGCGCATTACAAAAATTTATTACCAGCTAAAAAGAGTAAACAAAGAGAATACATATCTTAAATCTAAGCATGCAAGAGTATATAATGATACGATTTAGTTAAATGAGCATAATTTTAAAGGAAATTGTGATTTTTGCGGCGGAAATTCAATTCAAATTTACTTATGACTTTATAATGCGAAGGGGTAAGAAACAATTAATCAAGAAGAATAAAACTGACAATAAAAAAATCGCAAGGAGAGGATTTGTCATCCGATTTTCAGACTGCAGGCCAATTGGGCAAAGTGTAATTTAGTTTTTTTTTTCTTCTTTTCTCTTTACATCGTCTTGAGTTTGTTTTCTGTTTTTTTTTTTAAATATAAAAATTTAGGCACTCACCGCTCACAGGAACATCCAACGAAGAAAGCGCTTTCACCGAAGATGTTAGTGGCTAGCTGCGGGAAAATATATGGATAATGATAAACTCAAAATGATTTAATTTACACGACCAGAATGCACTGCACAAAAAAAAAAACCGGACGTCGACTCTGCCTCCTTGCCCGATTTTAAATCGCTTCGCCATCAATCAACAAACAAATTCTTTTACATTAAACATTACACTTAACCTAACGTGTTGCATAACAATCGTTTTCCCTTGGCAGGTCTTTAACAAATTTCCATACTCTCTGGAGGTTAGGTCCGAATGTAAGGGCTCGCAAGTTCTCTCAAAACTGCTTCACCTGGGCGGGGTCGCAAAACCGATGGAGGGTTTAACTCTTTAGATTCCCCCTTTGAACTTTATTTTAGTTCTACGGCATTTTACGGTGCAAATTCACGGCTCTTGCAGAAAAACTCCGCCGCGGTTCCGCGACGGACCGAACGTCTTACAGCGCGATCGAAATACTGCCCTTGGCTCTCGCTTAAACGACGAACGATGCCCAAGCAAAAGCTTTTATTTATAAGCTAGAAGACGAAAATGGTGATGTAGGTCGGGACTTCTCCTATCGCCCCAAAGGCAATGCTGCTGGCGGGGCCCGGAACTGGGCCTCTTTTCCGCTCCTCGACGTAGGTTTCTGAGCAGCTTGTCCGGCTCCAAATACCATAGGGGATGACCTCCACCGGTCTGAGCGAATACACGGCGGCCGCGCAGGCCGGCTAGTAGCTGCCGAATAAGCTCAACATTACTTACTCGACCTCAAACCTTGCGATCACGGCCAGAACTCACCCCAATCCGTAATCAATCTCCTAAATAGGTATTTCCTTTTCCTTTTTTCCCTTCCGGTGGCTCGCCAATATGAACAGGCTGATCAAGTCACTCGCGCTAAACTTTTGCGGGTTACACTCGTAAAGAAAATTTAACTTCTGCTTCCTTAGGCTGCCGAAACGGAAAAGACCGACTTTGACGCCACAATTCAGGCGGCAACCCAAATCACGGAGTATGAGGTGAAAAACTAGTCTTGAGAAAGCCTGACATTTGCCCCTGTTGCTCTCACTCATTCCGAAAACTGCAGCAGAACCTTTCTGCGCACGAATGCTAGATGGCGCCACCCCTGTATCTCTATGAAACACAGATGGAGCCGCTTCTGCTAAAGCAAGCGCTACAAAGTATGGTACTCCGAAATTCCTTAGTTTGCCGGCAAGCGGGGCATAAAATTACCAGTTTACCTAGGGCAACTCCTCAAACTCCACGAGCCACCTCTTCATTAGGCGGCTGCTGGAAAGTCAGCTGAAACTCGCAGGCCAGACCGCGTGAATGTGTCAAACACAAAGTTAAGTTATAAATACGATGCAGCACCCAACAGCTTCCATCAGCTCGGATGCACATGCTTAGAAGTGGGTGGTGGATGGGTAGATGGGTGTTCTGTTTGTTTGTTTGTTGTCATGTTACGGCTGAACGACCGCAAAGTACGTGGTCGTAGCTGTGGCTGTGAAAATTAATTGCCTTTTAAGTGAATCGCACTTGCTTTGGTAAACAACTAAATTGGACTAATGACGCTCATTTTGTATGCTTCGACGGGGGGATGGGGACAAAGGGGTGGCTCCTCCGAGAAGTTCGAGGCAACGTGTGGAGTGCTTATGTTGACTTATTACGTATGCGACGCGTTGTGCACCAACACGTGCCTCGAGTGAACGTGTTTCCGGCGCTGAATGCTCATTTGTTTGGCTGCCATCGAAGCTGCAGCTCTGACGTCTTAAACTGCATCCGTCGGTTGCACAAATCGTTGCTGGCATTACGCAACCAAGAAAGCGCAAAAAAAAATCTCAGCTTTTGCATCACTCGTAGATTGAGATAAGAGTGGGTGGAAATATAGAAATATGCACTTTTTAGGGATGCAAAAGTTCTGCTGGTGAAGGCGAACGGAAAAGTTTTTAAGGAATCCATACAAAAACGTTATGGCATTTCTGAGGCGTTTTTCTAAGAACGAAATGAACTTAAAAACTAAAGTGAGCTTCGTAGATTTTTATGATGTTGGGAAGTCAATTGAATTTAACCAGTTTTACATAAATATTTCAACATTATTTATTTGTTTCCACACACTTAACGTTTTTATTTATTTTGTATTTTATAAAGAGTTTGCATGTATTCTAAAAAATTAAACTCATTTAATTAAATCATTTCTCAACAATTACAATTGTTTAAAACACTAAATTAAGTTTTTTAATTTAAATCTAATTTAGACAGTTACATAGTTAATTACATTCATTTTATTTACTTAAAAGGACAATGAAAAACCGGGAAATCAAAAAGCGACATTTGTTTGTTTAGTGAACATAATGAACTAAAATCAAACAAAAATCGCTGAGGTCTATTTTAAACACAAGTCACTATTTGTATAAAAAGTAAATAGGTTTGCATAACTGAATTGGTTCAGTTTTAGCAGTAGTATCAAATCCATATATACGGTGTGCATTGCAGACACCTGACACCTGCAACCACAATTAGGCAACATCCCATCAGATTGGAATGTCCAAGTCGTCGCCCTGAGTCGATAAACTGCAATTGAAATATTACGCATACGTCGCATGGCACTTGACCAAAAATCACCACCCGAATGCCTGAGATCGGGGCCTCATAAATTCAGTCGCAATGATGCGGAAGCGAAATGGGTATTCGCCCCAAGACGATGAAATGCCGTAGAATGCCGAGAGTAATGCCGGCACAAATTGGTCCACATCAATCTCAGGTGCGAGAGAAGCTGCAGTGCAGGTAAGGCCCACTTATCACCGGAATCTCCGGCGGAGTGGGGGCCATTCCGCCAGGAGAACTGCATCTGCAGTTAACTGGCGCATGACAGGCACGAAGACATCGGCAGAGGCACTGCCTCCGTGATGGAAACGGGGATGGCATCTTCTTTGAGGAGCTTACTTGGGTTTTACGAGGCTGCTTATCATGGCACCTGGGCAAAATTAAGAATAATGATCTGGGATTTTTCTATTCGAAACTTTAAGTATTGCAAGTTGAAGTGAAACCACAAATAAAGAAATCATTTACTCCCTAAGAAAGTATTATAAATAGATTAGATACATTAAAATACACACTTTGAGAATTTATTATTTATTAACAATGAATAAGTAACAAAAATGTAAAAATAAAATAAATAAAAATATAATATTTTATATTAACTTAAACATTTTCTTAATTTTAGTAACTTAACCGTTCTTTTAAATATTTATTTATATTTCTTGAATAGATTAAAGTTGGAGTATTACGAGCAGGCCTGTGCCGTGGATAGCGTGACCAAAAAATGTGCCGGCAGACCCAGTGGCTGTCGAACGGCCATGATTGGTATTCTGGGCACCATGTTGAGGACGACCTGTGCCTGCCAAGGAACGGATCCCCAGCACCTGTACCAGTGCGTGGGATGGCGACGTCTCCTGTGGATGAACCCATGTGTGGGTAAGTAACAAAGATAAATAAAAAAATCATTTTTAAAAATATTTCCTATTTTCACAAAGTTAAAGAATATTTTTTTAATAAATCTAAGTGTAACCTATTAAAAATATATACAAATATCAGGTTAATTAATTTTAAAGTAATATATCTAGTTTAAGGGAAGTAAAAACCTTAATTTAATAAACTGCTAGATTATTTCCGTTTATTTCCCACTGTATCTCCTTGTACGCTCATTAACCCCGCGCCATCTTCGAATCTTGACAGTTGAGGCTCAAAAGGATTTCCATATGAAGCGGTTGGCTGAGCTCGGTTTCCTTACCACCACAACAACGACGACCACCACGACGACAACAACAACGACGACGACGACCACGCGGGCACCACCGCCCCACCTCCGCCCACCACAACAACAACGACGACGACCAGCCTG